AAAAAATAAACTGTTGAATTTACTGAACCAAACTGGTTCCACTAAACCAAGTTGAGTAAATWAAGCAATAAATAATTTATTTTAAAGAAAATGTGTTTATTGCTTCATATTTACTAGGTTTAGAGGAACCGGCTGACATGACTTGGTTGAGCAAACTCAACACTTCATTTTCAATTTTTTAGAGTGCATAAATAACTCCTTTCATGATGAGTTGTTAGGTGTTAAATTTTAAAATAAAGAAGTAAAAATATATATTTTTTAGGTTTTAAATGTAACAAAAGTAAAAGKAACGATTTAAAAAAATTACTGCTGATTTGAATAAAACTTGCAAAAAATGATCACTGGATATACGAATAGAACTAAATGAGTTAAAACAATCCAGACAGGTAATAACAAATTTACCCACATTTAATAACAGAAAGGGAGATAGGAGTTTGATTTATTTGTGTCACAAAATGGCCTGCCATACAACGATGCACATAAACATTGCTCAAACTMTTTTATTTCTGCAAGTAAACCTTTATTGAAGCTTTAGTTTTATAATATTTCAGAGCAAGTTTTCATGAGATTCTGTTYATGTTGGCTTGAATCTGCTACTGGGTTCCATACGTTGTACTCATTGAAGTCTGTATTATGAAAAAGAAACAAGAAAWTGAAATGACAAGTATATAAATATATAGATTTGTGCATTAACATAGAGAAGTGGAGAACCTACAGATTCAGCGTTCTGCTCCTCAGTCAGATGGGATGTTTTGTGTCTGCTGTAAAGCTCTCTCCTCCTCATGAACATTAACATGAACCAGTCTGTGATCGCAGGCACCTGAGAGGGGGGCAAGTGCAACTTTTTAATTCTGCATATCATATATTGATATACTGAGCAAATTTGAAYATATTTTATTCACCAAACTCAGGAAGGCCAAGGTGGCACCCAAGTTCACTATGGTCGGCACAATGGCAAATTTTCCAGCCTGCAAGAACCCAAACATACAATCAATAAAGAACTGAACACAACCAGTGATATTAAGGATTTGACTCCAATTTCAAGAATCAAGTCAGCCTCACGGTTCCAAAAACAATGACTTCAAAGCGAATCCCATAAGCTTTGATCAGCGTTCGTGTTTCCTGTCCATCTGCTGTTTTGTAGTACTTTGCAAACCTAAAACAAAGAGATTTGTTCATTTTTTTTTACCAACAAAGTTCCTCCTCGTTTGTTCGAAGTGTCTAATAAAAGTAGGTYCACCTGAAGTTGTAACCAGGGGATACATTGTTGACAGGGTCTTTGCTGTCCAGCCTGCTGAAGGTGTACCTGGGGTAACACTTCCCTGGCCACCAGTCCAGGTCACAGCTCCAGTCAATGAGGATACCAAGAATGCCCCCCTTTAAAACACCCAGAACAACCAGTTCAAGACTGAAGTTACTGTTTAAACCAAGTCAAACAGGAAGTCCTCTGCCCACCTTCACAGCCATCTCCTGGAAGTCCTCTCCAGCTTCAGACACAATGTGTTTGAGGCGGAATATGGGGCAGTCGGGGTTGGTCTTACGGTTGAACTCACACGACTTCAGGTACGAGGAGTTAACATGAGGCCGTATGTTTCTCCTGGAGGAGGAAAGACAAGCGCCTATATATATATAAATATATACTGTACTGTATATATA